TTTTTTTTTTTTTTGGATATAGAGTCTCATTTTGTCCCGTTGGGTATAGTGCCTAAGTCATAGCTCACAGCTCCTGGAAACTCCTGGATTGCTTGATCCACAGCCAGTTTTTTTTTTAAAGACTGGGTTTTGATCTTGCTCAGGCTGGTCTGGAACTCATGAGCTCAAGCAATCCACCCACCTTGGATTACAGGGATGAGCAACTGCGCCCAGGCCATAAAGTAAGTGTGTGTATATGTATATATATATATATATATATATATACATTTAAAAAATATATATAAATATATTATATATCTTTTTTTTTGGCTAGGGCTGGGTTTGAATCCACCACCTCTGGCATATGGGGCCAGTGCCCTACTCCTTTGAGCCACAGGCGCTGCCCATAAAGTATATTTTTAATTAAAGGCCATTCACAGGCCCAGGGAAGATCAGCAGGTAGGACACCAGCAACATGCTCCAAGGCTGTGGGCCTGCTAAACAAACAACAACAAAAATAACAGCCAGAGGTTGTGGTGGGATCCTGTAGTCCAAGCTACTTGGGAGGCTAAGGCAAGAGAATCGCTTAAGCCTAAGAGTTAGAGGTTGCTGTGAGACTCTGTCTCAATAAAAAATAAAGAAAGAAAGAAAGGCCATTCAGAATCAGAAAGCATTGTAAAGGGCTTTGCTTTCCCTCTATCTACAATAAACCACTCTGACCTGATCAGGAGATGAAATGGGGAAACTGACCTCCTTTCCTCACCCTCTGAATGCTACCAGACCTGGTTCAAATCACTAAAACACAATACCTGGCTCAGCGCCCATAGTTCAGTGGTTAGGGTGCCCGCTGGTGACATACACCCGGGGCTGGCAGGTTGGAACCTGGCCCGGGCCTGTTAAGCAACAACGACAACTACAACAACAAAAAAATAACCAGGCATTGCGGTGGGCACCTCTAATCCCAGCAACTTGGGAGGCTGAGGCAAGAGATTCGCTTAAGTCCAAGAGTTGAGGTAATAACGCTTGCTCAACTTTTTTATACCCCTTTTGGTTTTACCCTGTGAAACACCCCTTTGGTTTTACCCTATGAAAACCAGAACCACAAACAACTGAGGCTGCTCTGGAAACCCCCCACTGGGACAGTGAGGCAGTCACCAGATGGCTCTTTGCTAAAGGACTCTTCTGTGAATTTGGCTTGTCTGGCTGTGCAGTCTTTGGGGAACTCCTGGGTGCAAAAAAAAGTTCCAACCCATGGGTACCTTTCTCATGGTCAGTTTGAATCAAGTGGGAGAAGCTGTTCCAGCCCCCACAGAACTACAAGATTTCACAGAAGTGGAAATTTCCAGGTACTAGGAAGTTAAGTTTCTACAAATTCCTAGCACTCTGGGAGACTGAGGCTGGTGGATTGCTTGAGCTCTGGAGTTTGAGATCATTATTTGTGTGAAGACAACAGGGTATCTTTCCAGATACAGGCCTGAAGGCCATGTCATTGAGAGTCAAACAAAAGACAGTTTGTTTGACTATCTTTTTCACTGGGCAATCCCCAGAGTTCCCGCAGCACCAGGCTCAGTGGCGGAAGGAGGGGGGGTGACTCTCCATCAGAGCGCCCTCCTCCAGGACCAAGCAAAATAAAGTTGGAAGACGCCTCCTCCCACTCCCCTGCCTCAGCAGAAAGAGGGTGGAGCCATCACTCACAGGCCTGTGGGAGGTCACTTTAGGGAGGGGTGTCTTACTACCCCAAGGGCTACCAAACCAGAAAATGAAACCTTACTGCCCCAGACAAAGACGAGGGCAGGGACAAGGCTGCAGGATGATTCCACAGATCAGGTACCTCTGCCTTTCTGCCCCGGGACCCCTGCTGCCCCTCCTGGCTCGTGGCCCCTGCTGTGCCCCTCCTGACCTGCCCCCATTGGTGTGGACCTGGGCTTACCCTCTCCCGGTTCCCTGCAGCACCCTTGCCATGGAGGGTCTTTGGTCTGGTCCGTGGGCACCCCCACTGTTGCCCTGGCCTGCCCCTCCCCGGGCTCTGCTTCCCCTACCCAGCCTCATTGGAAGCCAGACTTTCAGTGGCAGACCCCCCCCCCGCCCCCAGGCACTTCTTGCCATTCCTGAGAGCTGAACCAAAGGATCTTTTTTTTTTTTTTTTTTTTTTTTTTGAGACAGGGCCTCAAGCTGTCCCCCTGGGCAGAGTGCTGTGGCATTACAGCTCACAGCAACCTCCAACTCCTGGGCTCAAGCGAGTCTCCTGCCTCCGCCTCCCAAGTAGCTGGGACCACAGGCGCCCGCCACAACGCCTGGCCATTTTTTGTTGCAGCCGTCATTGTTGTTTGGCGGGTCCGGGCTGGGGATTCGAACCCACCACCTTAGGTGTACGTGGCTGGCGCCTTAGCCAGTTGAGCTATAGGATCAGTTGAACCTAGGATCTTTGAAACAACTGGGAATTACTAACAATTCTCTTTCAAGACATTGCTGGATTTTGTGTAATATTTACACGGTTTCCACACCAAGTCTTAGGAGAGGGTGGGGTGGAGGGGAGAGCTCTCTAAGGCCAGAAGATAAATTCTCTTTCCAAGGACTTCTGCACTGTGAGGGGAGGAGTAAGGCAGAGACCCGTAATCTCTGCAGCGCCTGGGTGATCACGCTCACCTTGTGCAACAGGGACACTAAAATGGAAAGAGAGCCAGGCGCGGTGGCTCATGCCTATAATCTCAGCACTTTGGGAGGCCAAGATGGGCGGATGGCCTGAGCTCACGAGTTCGACACCAACCTGAGCTAAAGCGAGACCCCCATCTCTAAAAAATAGCTGGGTTTTGTCGCAGGTGCCTGTAGTCCCAGCTACTCCGGAGGCTGAGGCAAGAGAATCACTTGAGCCCAAGAGTTAGAGGTTGTGAGCTATGACACCAGGGCACTCTACCGGGGGTGACAAAGTAAGACTCTGTCTCAGAAAAATAAAAAATAAAATAAAATGAAATGGAATGAGAGAAAAACTGGAATGATCAGGAGAAAGGCTCATACTGTAAACTTTAGTACAAAGGATAGCCGGGTCCCTGGTGTCCACTCCCGCAGGTCACAGGATGCAGTAGCTGGACTTGGTCTGGCCAGGGGACCCAGCCCCATCACTCACCAGCTCTGTGAACCTGGCAGGTGACTCCACCCCTGTGTGCCTCTGCCACCTGATCTGTAAAATGGGATGTCCTGCAGGCTTTAGGTGGTGACAAGTGCCCAGATACATTCAGTGAGTAGAGCGGTAGCTCAGGTTGTAAACAGGGGGTCTCAGAGTTAAAAACACTTTTATTACATGGGCAGGTAGAAAGTCAGGAATGAATGGAGCTGAAATGTCCAACCCCCTTTTTAGGGTGGGAAGTTTTGTTTTCCTTTGTTTATTCCTTTTTCTTTTCTTTCTTTCTTTCTTTTTTTTGAGACTGAGTCTTAAGCTGTTGCCCTCAGTAGAGTGCTGTGATGTAACAGCTCACAGCAACCTCAGATTCTTGGGCTTAAGTGATTCTCTTGTCTCAGTCTCCCAAGTAGCCGGGACTACAGGCTCCTGCCACAACATCCGACTATTTTTGTTGTTGTTGTTGTTGTTGCAGTTGTCATTGTTGTTTAAGTTTGAACAGGCCAGGTTTGACCCTGCCAGCTACAGTGTATGTGGATTGCGCCATAACCACTGTGCTACAGGCACTGTCTTTTTCCTTTTCTCTTCTTTTCTTTTGAGACAGAGTCTTATTATGTCACCCTCGGTAGAGTGCTGTGGCGTCACAGCTCATAGTGAGAGGGAGCAGTTATGATCCTATTTTTTAATATTATTATTATTTTCCTTGCTTTGCCTTTAAATAGTGATGGTAGTAGCAAAAATAGAAAAGATAAAAAGCTGGGGAAGAAGGAAGATGGGGGAGGGAGGAGGCAAGGGCTGCAGGAAGCTCCAAGGTCATAAATCAAATCAGGTACGCAGCCCAAGTGGCGACAACCAATCAAAAGTTCAACACCTCCACCCTAGCTAAGACCCCAACCACGAAGAGACAGCTGACTTATCAGAACCCCAAGACCTCCCTAGTGACCAATAAGTGACCAGACACTAGCTTCTTCCTGAGCCATCTTCTTCAGCATTTGATTACAACCCATAGTACTTTGCAGAAAAGTGTATAAAAGTTTCCCTGGCCTTTGTTTAGGGGCCACTCCTCGCTGTTTCTGCTTTTGTCATGGGAGTGACCCGAGCATATGCCTGATAAGAATAAACTCCTTGGTTTTTCCATGTGTGAGTATGGACTCTCAGTGGTAATAATTTTAGCCTTAACAATAGCAACCTCAAACTCTTGGGCTTAAGTTAAGGTGACCAGATTTTAACATTGGTAAAACAGGACACCATTTATCAGGGTGGGACAGGGGTGGGGCGGATTTTCATAGAACGCGAAAATAGTATTGTAATTTTTTTAAAATTTCAACATAAGTACAATTTACAAATATAATACATTAAAAAAATTATGTATAGGGCAGTGCCTGTGGCTCAAAGGAGTAGGGCACCAGTCCACCTGGGTGACCTTGTCCAGGAGGGGAATAGGGAGTTTACATTAGCCTTTTCATTTCCAAATGAAGTTACATTAACCTCTTCATTCCCAAATGGAATTACATTAACCTTTTCAGCAGCCGTATATTCTCTTCCCGTATATTCCCTTCCCGTTGTCCTGCCCTTCCCTAGATTATTGTGCATTCTTTCCAAAAATCGGGGCTTTTTAAAAATGCCGTGGGAGACAGGACAAATTGTTAAAAATTGGGATGTCTGGTCACCTTAGCGTAAGTGATTCTCCTGCCTTAGCCTCCCAAGTAGCTGGGAGTACAGGAGCCATCACAACGCCTGGCTATTTGTTCTTGTTGTTGCAGTTGTCATCGTTGTTTAGTAGGCCTGGGCTGGGTTCCAACCCTCTAGCGCCGGTGTACATGGCCAGCTCCAAACGCTGAGATATGGACGCTGAGCCCCTTTGTTTATTTTCTTTTTTTTTTTTTTTTTTTTTT